TTAATTATTCGTAAAATAAACGGAACCTTAAGGCACATGTGTGTAGTGAAAAATGAATGAACAGAAAACATTTTGTTAAAAAATGATTTCCTTTATAATAAAACGAAATCATTTTTCAAAATATGACTATAAATCGGCCCTTAAACTAGAAACTCTACGCTTAGGTGCGAGAGCCCAATGCCGATTCCCGAGTACCTGACATTTAAGATTGGGCCCCCGGCGCCTAGGCTCGAGTCCATTGAGGCCGGGCCCGTGACCCCAATGCATGTGCTTGGGTCCATGGTGCCCGCTCTTGGATACATTGAGGCCATGTTTGAGGCTCCAATGCCCATGCCCGATACCCTGGTACCCAAGCCCGAGTCAACAAAGGCCAAGCATGGGATACTAACAATCATGCCCAAATCCCCAACACCCGGGCTCAGGTTCACAAAGGCCATGCTAGAGTTCCCAGAGCCCGAGCCAGTGTCTATCAAGGCCAAGGCTCGAGTCCCTAGTGCCCAAGCCTTTGTTTATATAGGCCAAGGCCCGGGACCCAGGGGCCCGTGCTCGTGTCCACGGCGCCGCGCTAGGTCCATAGAGGTCGGGCCCAAGACCCCAGTGCTAGTGCCAAGTCCTCGTCACTCGAACCTGTATCCATCGAGGTACCCCTTAGTGCCCATGCTCAAATCCATGATGCTTGCGCTCAAGTCCATCGAGGCCAAGCCTAGGTCCATCAAGGTCAAGCCCAAGCCTAGCCTCGATGGACTAAGACTAGAGCGTCAGGGACTCGAACACAGGCATTGGGTTCCCGAACCCTGGCATTATGGTCTCACACTCAGCCTTTGTTGACCCGAGCCTAGCCTCAATGAACTCAGGCTTGAGTGCCAAGATCTAGGCATGGGCACCGAGTCCTCAAGCCCGGCCTCTATGGACTCGAGCTAAGGCACTAGGGAGCCGGGCAAGGACATCGGCTTCTCAGGCCCGGCTTTTGTGGACCCAGGATTGATGCTTGTACTCGTGTCCAAGTCCATCAAGGCCGAACCCGGGACCCTGGTGCCCATAGTCGGCTCCCCGATTGCTTCTATGTAAGTAACTAGGGTCTGAATAGTGTATATTTATTTAGGAAAATCAAATTATTTTCCTTATCAAATGGCGGAAAATATTTTTCTTATCAGATGACGGAAAATATTTTTCAATTCATTTTCAAATTTTAGCCAAACACTGAAAAATATTGTTATTTTACAAGAAAATGACTTCCTATAAAACACTTTTGAGAAATGTCACATTTTTAACGAAACAAATAAAGCCTCGGTGCCTCATGTTTTCTGCATTTCCCGTTAATTTGCAAGGAACGGTATATCTTCACTACCATCGTATCAATACTATCTTCATTAATTAAACCTTCTCCCAATGCTAATCTCATTGCGCTAGATGGAAGCGATGCCACGTGGCAGGCTCCGGGCACTACACGTTTTGAGGTGTTGATTAGGTGTACGTGTGGGGACAGGTGGGGGTAAGAATTGATGGTGGGGACAGGAAGGGGGACAGGGGCGTTTAAGTCACCTGCCTGGTTGGCAGGTGTTCTCAAGGACATCCCATGTGTTGTCCCAAAACAAGAATCCCTAAGCCTCACTTTCCAGTTCCCACGACTCCTCTCAATTGTTTTTTATTTTATTTTTATTTTTTCTTGAGTAAGCATACCTCAAATCGATTTAAAAAGCAAATCAAAACTTGGGTTTTTATCAATCTCCAAATCGCAAATAGTTCTTTCTTCATATGACCAATCACAACCTCTAATCGAATGCCTTTAAGATACTTGCTAGACTTACTTAATAAAAACTCTTAAGATTTGCAAAGCATTCATTACGCATAACATAAGAATAATATTACATTGAAAAGTTACGATTTTTCTCTATTTAGTTATCTAACTCATGCTCCAAAAGCATTCGTCGATGAAAATCATAAAGCTATTTGTCGGCATCTCTGAACCACTAGTACAACGAAGGCATAAGGTACATTTCTCAACAAAAAAAAAAATGAAGTCTCCTAGAGCTCCCTTTTTATAATAGAAATGACAAAAAACCTAACATCTTTGAAGTGTCGACCCCTGCATGGATACCTAACAACAAAAGATGATGGAATGCCAACAAAGGGTACAATTTCGACCAAAAAAAAAAAGACAAAGGGTACAATAATCACAAGAAAGAACAGTTCTAACTATATCAAAACCAATATGAAAAGGGATCACATAGCGCGAGATATGTATCTTCATAGGCTGGCAATATTTGACGGAAAGACTGTCAGTCGATTTGTGAACTAATCCTAGAAATCAATCTCGGGAGACGTGAAATTATTCTTACAACCGAAAATAAAGCGCAAAGGTTTTACTGGGCCAAATTCAAAATTCAAAACTGAAAATAAAAACATAGAACTAACGGTCAATCGAACATTTTTCACTATGAATTTTGTAAATTCTTGAAATATATGATTAGTCTAATTTGATCAAATTGGCAAAAAAGTATAGGGAGCAAGAATTGTTGGAGTGAGCCCGCCCATGAAAACGGTAGGAGAGGAGTCAAACCAACGTCAGGAGGTGGCACCCCACGCGACGCGTAGCGCGTGACCATATGTCCTGTCCCCCCAAATTCTTTTTTTTTTCTTTCCAATCACAATAATATGTCACGCACTTTTTCAGCTTCGGTTCCCCTCGATGCATTATCGCCCAATGATTTTTTTTTTGCTTCCTTCCTTCTCTTTTCGGTGCAATTATAAGTCAATGATGTTCCTTTTCTTTCTAGGCCATGAATGGTTTTATTCTAGGTGGAATCGAATTGAATGATCCAAATTGAAGAGAAGAGAAGGCTCCATGAAATTATTTTACCAGTCTTGTCAATCGTATATATTAAAGTATCAACGTCGCTTGTCTACAAGATTTATGTGTTTTTATATACACGTAATCTCCCTTCACTAGATCTGTCAAAATGGGTCATTGACACATTTCTTAACTCATATATGATGGTTGAGTTGTTATATAAGTTAATTATATTTAGTAAATAGATTATAAATGAATTTATAACTTATTCAGACCCAACCCATCTATATGATTCTCTCTTCATTTTCTCTTGCCGTCCCTCGATTTTGGCGCTCACTCAATCCACGTATGAGTGTTCCTAGATTTGGTTAAATGTGGAAGTGTTTTAGTAATATGGATCGAGTCAAATATGAGTTGCGTATGGGTTAGGTTATGTATGGATTACTAGATTTGTACTATATGAAAATGGGCCTATTTGGCTCGGATCATTTTCGACCTGACTCGACCTGATCAACCCCTTTGATGGGTCTGGTTGGATTGGACATTGTAACGTGTTATCAAGGTTGTGGGCACTATTCATCGAATTTGGCAAATCGCTTCTAATCCGGCTATCTCACGTCACTTGTCTAGCAATACCCAACATACACAAAATGACATTTTCAATATTTTAACCGTACATAACACGAGAAAAACAATGCTTGAAAATGACGAATTTCCCTTGCTTGAGTGGACTGGTCGACAAGTGTCCATCAACACTAGTTAACAAAATCTAGATATCACAACATAAATAAATCTCCCAATGTTTGAGTTTTGCTGAGCTTATGCCCCGCACGATCCTACTTCCCCACATGACATTTTCCCCGTTGTCTACGTTGGATATTCTAGGTGGGTCCCCCTTGAGTTAATTAGGGTGCAATTTAAAAAAAAAATGCAAATATTAAATAAAATAAAAAAAGAAATCGAAACGTAATATTCCAAGCAAAAGACAATGGCTCTTAGCTCTTAGCTCATCTTTGGAATTTTCTATTTTGGACCTTCTAAGAATAACCGAGGTTAGTCAAAAGGCAACGGAATTTAGGGAGAATTTTCCACCTTTTTATTTATTCATTATTCATTATTTATTAGTTATTATTTAATATTTTTTGGGCACCCTTTTACGACCAGTTAAAGCTACCGGATCAGATTCTTCGATTGGTATAGAAAGTAAATGAGGTGGTCAAACTCAAACCCTAGAAAAAGTGAATTTTTATTTTTATTTTTATTGCTTTTTTTTACTTTTCCAAGCCAATGGAGGATTGCATCATCTCATAAGTCATAACCACCCCCATTGAGCTCAATTTGTTTATTTGTCTCTCTTGATAAGGCACAGGTTGCTTTCAAACACATTTTTATCAATCCCTTTATGCATGAATTGTTGATTGTCAGCTTCTTTAAGGGATTAATACTATTAAAATCACCAGCTAAAATCCGATAACATATTCAATCCAAATTATTTTTCGTCTCACCAAAGATCCCAAACCGGCAGCCATGACGCATTGACCCAACACTAATTTTCATCTCACCAAAAATGTCAAACCAATACTCCGCGACACATTTACCCCAAATCTACGGTTTGGGGTCTGATATGGGGGGAGTAAATTTGGATTAGGGATACCGGATTGGCACGCGCAAGCTACCAATTTTGGATCTTTCGTGACAATAAAATTTGTTGGGGATAGAAACCCTTCTTTCAATTATAGGACCGGCTCACACAAACTACTGTTTTGTAACATGAAGAAACAGGAGGTACAGAAAACAAGACTTTCTTAGGCGATTATTCAATGCATCAAATTTTTTTTTATATACTTCCTCCAAAGGAAATTCCTTCTGTCTAGAAAGCAATTTCTATTGACAGATCTCTCTTGCTGGGCATTGCGGAACACCATCCCCTGCGAGGGATTCTCTCTGTCGTTGGAACAGGTAAATGTGGTCACTTGGTCTCCCACGATCGTGATCAAGGCAACTTTAATTTAATTTAAGTGATATTAAATTATTCTCTCTTTCATGCTCTTTTAACCCAACAAAAAAATAAATAAAAAGTAAATTCATCCCACGATTTGTGTACTAAAACACGATAGTGGGTACGTTGCGAAAGGACGAAATAAAAAGAAAAACTGCATAAATTTTTGGTGATGTGATTTTTATATTAATATGGTGATATTAGATTAGCTATATGAATAGGACTTCTCTTTCTGAAGTTAGGCAAGTTCGTACACATGATAAACCCTAAAGAGACATAGACAACCTACTTCCTAAACATAGGATTAACAAGAAGGAAACACAAATGTACAAACTATCAAACTGCCAGTGGCCCAAAACCTGGCAGGTCTAGCCGGACACGTGGCCGAAAGCCCACCGCTGTTTCTCTGCTTCCCCACCGCTCAGAAATAATCGAAGGCTGTCGTTTGCCTCCTCGCCGCCGTCGTTGTCCTCTGCCGCCTCAGCCTCAGGCCGGGGATCTCGGGCGGCGTCAGGGACCGGACGAGGGCGAAGTTCAGGCCCTTGAAGAAGGGGTGCTTCTTGACGTCGGCGGACCCGCGCCTCGACCCGAGCCTGCGGGCCGGGTCCTTGCAGAGCAGGCCGGCGATGAGGTCGCGGGCGTAGAGCTCCGGGGCGGCGGCGGGGGGCGCGTCGGCGGGGCCCGGGAAGGCGAGGGGCTTCTCGACGATGTTGCGGAGGGTGGCCTTGTTGGACGCGCCGGCGAAGGGCGTGCGGCCGTAGACCATCTCGTAGATGAAGACCCCGAGGGCCCACCAGTCGACGGCGTTGCCGTGGGACCCGCCGGAGGCGACCTCGGGCGCCACGTACTCGTGGGTCCCGACGAAGGACTGCGACCGGGCGCCGACCGGCTCGGCCACGAACATCCGGTTCCCCGGGGCGAGGCTCTGGATCTTGCGCGACCGGAAGAGCCGGTTGGGGCTGGGGAGGCAGGAGAACGGCGAAGCGGACGGAGGCGGGGGAGGAGGAGGGGCGCCCGCCGCCGCCGTCTGCCGTCGCGGGTCGTGCCGGGAGGGGTCCGGGGTCGCCACCGCCGATGTCGACGGGGATTCAACGGCCGGGATGGCGTCGGAACATAGGGATAGGTCAAAGTCAGAGAGCATGATGTGACCGTCCGATCTGACCAACACGTTCTCGGGCTTTAAGTCTCTGTAGATGATTCCAAGCATGTGGAGGTACTCTAGCGCCACCAGCACCTCCGCAGCATAAAACCTGAAAAAAAAAAACCAAAAATCCCACCAAAAAATAAAAAAAAATTTAATCTTTTTTATTTCTTTTTTCTCTCATTTTTATTTACAATAAATTGAATTGCATTATTTTTTTCCAAAAAGGAAATTTGCGGCTATTGTCAGATAAATAATCCTGGAAAATCTCAGCTCCAGAGCGGAAAAAGGGAAACGTTGAAAGCGATTCTGCTTTTATTTATATTTTTTTTCGTAAATGAAAAACTGATTAAAAAGAAGAAAAAGGATGATCCATGGAAGGTCGCTGATTGCAGCAGAGAAGCAGACAAGATGGTAACCTCTCAGAGGGGAAAAAAGGGCAGATGAGAACAAAACATGGAGAATCGCACCATGCAGAGAGAGAAACGAAACGAAACAACATCGCATGAAAAAATGGGGAAGAAAAGGGTTCGTGGGAAAGGAGGAAGAACTCCACGAACATTGTTTGAGAAAAACTGAGGAAGAAAAATGAACCAGAGAGACAACACATTCTTGAAATGAACAAGGAAGAAGAGGACAAACAAACACAGTGACACGACGGGAGGAGGGGAATGTGTGTGTGTGTGGGTTACCTCGCGGCGGCGAGAGAGAAGCGCTTGTTGGGCTGCTTGTGGCGGAGGGAGTGGAGGTCGCCGCCGGAGCAGTACTCCATGACAATGCACGAGAAGTGGGAGGCCTCGAACTCGGCGTAGAGGGTGGGCAGGAAAGGGTGGTCCACCATCTTGAGGATCCGCCGCTCCATCTCCGCCCGCTGGCTCTTCTGCTTCTTCTCCACCACCTCCTTGTCCACCACCTTCATCGCGTACAGGGGCGCCGGCTGCTGCGTCTCCCCACCGTCCGCCGGATCGCCGCCGCCGCCCGGGCCCTCCTTCAGGCTGCAGAGGAAGACGGTGCCGATGTCGCCGGAGCCGATGCGGCGGTGGAGGCGGAAGTCGCGGAACCCGGGCCTCGCGCCGCGGCGGAGCATGGCGGAGTAGACCGAGTCGGAGGAGGACCGGTGCGGCTTTATGGCCAGGACCTCGGCGGCGGAGGCGGCGCCGAGGCCGTGGTGGTGGTCGAGCAGGGCCGCGTCGAAGGAGAGGCGGCTGAAGCTGCTGCAGCTGCCGCGGGAGCTGCTGCTCATCGAACTGGCGTGGCCCGAATTCAAGGTCTCGACGCTGCTGAGTTCACCGTCCGAGTCACGGCGATGCTCGATCATCCTCTCAAGCAAAGGGTAAATCCCCGACGCCCTCTCACGGACCCCGGTTCTCTCTCTCTCCAGAACAAGATGCAGTAGAAGAAGAAGACAGAAAGAGAGACTAGCAATTCGAAAGCCGGTGGAAAATGATCAGAGGAGAGAAAGTCAACAAAGGTGAGGACGAAGCACGAATCTGATCACTCGTGCATTGGACTTAGCTCGAACTGGCAACCCCGAATCAGATGCTAAGAAACGAAGAGAGAGAGAGACGCGCGCGCACACACACACAGAGATTCGTCGGTTAAAAGAAGAGATTCAAGAATCGATCAGAGGAGGAGGAAAGTGAGCAGTGTGCCCCCGCTTTGAATGAAGGGGGGGAGTGGGGGCGCAGGGCAGAGCTCATCAATGGCGGACGAGGGGGGAAAGGAGCAGCTTTTCCTTCCTCTCCTCCTCTGTGTGCGCGTTGGGCTTTTGGGACCAGAAAATTAGGGTTTAACTCTCTCTTGTTTCTTCCTCCTCTTGACTGTCGCTGCAGCAGAGCCCGTACTCGAAGACCCTTCTTCTTCACTTATTGCTCGTCGGAGAGAGAGAGAGAGAAAGGGAGAGAAGGTCGAGGTCTCTCGCTCTCTCTTCTCTGGTTTTTTTTTTTGAACAGGGTGCCTCTGCGTTCAGAGAGAGAGAGAGAGTTCGGAGAAGATGGTGGTTGAGGAGGTATTTATGCAGGGGTCGTACGGAGACAGACGGGGGGACGAGGGCAAAACCGTCATTCGCCGCCTCCCCTGCGTTTTTTCCTTTCTTGGTTTCATGGGGACTAGGCGACGACGACGTCGATTTTTTCAAACTTTTTTCGCGATTAACAAACGAGAAAGCTTTTTTAGTACAGCGCTGTGCGAATTAATCCAGATCTTTTTAGTTAATTCGAACTTTCTCGTCAAAAAAAAAAAATTTACTTATGAAGCGGATATATTATTGACTCAAAAGTAAATTTTCATTTTTGCATTTATTGGATCTTTCTTATTTATATCGACTTTGTATGATAGAAAGTTGAAAAATCAGGGTGTAGTTATTAAATAGGGAATATCACCCAAAAATATTAAATTATACCCACCGCGACACATTTATTCTAACTTTTTTTTTGTCACCAAAAACCTTAAACTCATCCACTGTGATATAAGTACCATAAACTTTCCTTTGGGTTGCGAAAAAAATCAAAACTTATACATGTGTACCACATATACTATTTATTTAGATATTTGTCATATTTGTATAAGTTTGATAAAAAAAATTTGGGGTATTTGTATCACAATGGGCAAGCTTAGGGTTTTTAGTAGCTCGAAAAAAAAATTTGGTATTTGTGTGATGATGGGTATGGTTTGAGATTTTTTGCGGTATTAACCCTTATAAATAAGCACATCCTTAAAATTATCCACATTCTTCGTTCAAAGGATAATTACTCTTTTCCTCTGTCACTTTCGAAGGTGCGCACCTGCATGTCTCAATACTGCTATTAACGAAACCAAGTACACAACAAGTTTGAAGATAACATGAATTAAAATATTTTATTTTTAATGATTTCGTCTAACTTTGTCTACATGCTTAGTTGAAAGAAAAAAACACAAATCGGACGATTGTGCCATTAGAAATCTCAAATTGGAACTTAAGACATTTTTTCCAAATTAATTTTTTGATTCACAAAAAATTTCAAATCGATACCTCCACAATCCGTTTAGACCAAACCAATTTTCGTCTCATAAAAAAATCTCGAGTCAATACTCCCGACTCAAAAATACATATATGACATAAATGTTAGATTAAGGGTCGGTAGAGTCGGTTTGAAACTTTTCGCGAGACTAGAATTAGTGTGAGATTGAAAGTATTCGTGATGCACCAATTTGATTTTTTTTTAAAGGTGTTAACCTAAGTCAAGATATGAGTGTTTTTTATTTTTTGACAAGGATCTCTTCTTCTTTTGACCATGGTTAAAAATTTTTTTTTTTTTTTGGGCGGGAGGAAGACACGTGAGGTTTGAAAAAAAAAAAGGAGCAGCTCGGTCTGATTCTGATGCGGCCACAGCCTTATTACAGCAGGACCCGGCCGCGTTCAATTACCTGCGGGATGACGTCACGTGGGGGGGGGGGGGGGCGTTGGCACGTGCGTCGAAGGTCGTCGGGTCGGTTGTCACGTGGCAGAGGCTGCTTCCATTTTGTTGTTCTCGAGCGCTCTGGAGCGTGCGGTCCTACTGTGCAGGTGCAGGTCTAGTTAAGCTTTTTGTTTTTTCGTTTTTTACCATTTACTCTTCTTTTTTTTTTTTTTAACTTTCAGGGCTCAAACAAAAAAAAGGGTAGATTTTACCAGTTTGGTGAATTTTTCATTGCACCCGGCTTAATTTCGTCTGACAATATCAATAATGAATCCTCCTCCGCTCATGGCTTTTTGAACCACGGAAAATGATATCAAAGGCCCTTAAAAGTTAGATTTAACTTTAAATATGCAATGTCGTTCATAAATCTTTAGTTTATTTAATTTGACTTATGAACTTTGACCAAATATATAATGTCTGTTTGATCTTTTAATTTATTCAATGTGATCCCTTAACTTTTAGTATATATTTCATTTAGTCTTGTAATATATAAAAATGTTCAATGGTGTCATTCCGCTAATTCAAATTAACGGAATTTGTTGATTTGGTTTCCAATCATGTACACGTCAATGATGGACACAAAAGCATTATATGCGAATTATCCACGTAAGATATTCAACTCAAATTAGAATATAATAATCCTTTTCATTTGTTTAATTTGTTCAATTTAAAATAAGTTTATCCATGTCATTTGATGACGTAGATTATTATATCTTAATTTGAGTTGAATATCTTACGTGTATAATCCACATGTAACGTTATTTTTTTCTCCACCATTCAAACTTACCGGATTGGAAGCTAAATCAGCAAATTTTGTTAATTTGTATTAATGAAAGGATAACGTTGGATATTTTAGTCTAGGGGTTAGATTGAGAAAGTTTAGGGACGATATTATACATTGGGCCAAAGTTCACGAACCATATTAAACAAATTAAAAGCTTAGAGACGACATCATACTTTGGGCCGTTTGTGTAATCAACTCTTTTATTATTTTTGGTGTTTGTAAATAATTCAAATTTAACGAAAACATTATCGACCTTATTTTGACAACGGGATAATAGATTTCATTTCATTCGAATTGTCGGTCTTTCTCATTAGTTAGATGTTAGGGTTAAATTTTGGCTAATCCCATATATTTATTTTGTGGAAAATGAATGATGTGAAAAATATTTTCCTAAAAACGATTGTTTATATCACTTGAAGTAATTAGTCAATGAAAAATGTTTTTGTTATCAACAACAATTTACGTTTAAACATTTTTATGGACAATGAAAATATTTTTCATTCATTTAGTTTTGTAAGTGATATAAATGATCACTTTTAGGAAAATATTTTTCAAATTATTTATTTTTCCCCGAACAAGCGTACCCTAATAGAAGTTTACTTAGCAAAAGTGTTGACTTGTTCACTGCGATGTGTTATAGCTAATTATTATAGTTCTAATATTTTCAGATAACTTAATGAAAAATAGCAAAATTTGTCATTAAGAATTCTTTATACTCTTATAGATCAGCCTCTACAAATTGGCCTCTCTACCATCACAAACAATCCTTATAAAGTCACAACTTAAAAATCAAATTACTGATTTTGCACGTGTCCTTAAGTCCTATTAAAATATGGAATCGAGATCAACTTTTAATCCCAAGAAATTGTCTTGCTTTACCTATAAATTCTAGGGTGACAATCAGGCCGGTTCAATCCATAGTAGGTCTTACTCGATCGATTTCTGAGAGGAACCAATTCAACTCTTGATTTGAAGGCCGGTTCTAGGGTCGAACCAGGATTGTACACCTTATGTAAAGAAAGGCAATAGTGAGATGCTACTAAGGGAGAATGGAACCCATAATCTCTAACTTAAAGTAGGCACCCAAGACCACTTAACTAATAAGAATTTACTAGTTGTAGGTTAAAAATATACATATAATATCAATTATGCGATTTTTACAAAAAAAACCTAGTTCTACCTAAGAACCAAGGCCTGGCTTGGAATTGGCTAGTTGGGTCAGTTCTCCGATTCTAAGTATAACTGGTTCGATTCAAGTTTCTAATTTTTCAAGAATGGATCTCGGAACAGATTCATTGGGGATCCGATCACCACTTCTTCTTGCATTTCAAGGTTTGAGATTTTTGTTTCCTTGTTAGATAGATCAGCAGGTAATTCAATCTAAGGATTTCATATTAAACTGCCAACTTTCATGCTGGATATCCGGATTGGTATATGTACAATATCTAGATTTTGCATATAATTATCACCTTGCCGGTCATTGCGGATCTTTTTTCATTTGGCGACTTGGATCTCAAGTTTTTCTTTTTTCCCTTTTTTTTCTATTTTATTTTTTAATGTATAGAACCTTCTTAGATGCTCTTTAATTAATTAATTTATTTCTCTTAATTTTTTGGGGTGTCATGCGGCGGAACTATAATGACCTAACATGTCGTACGCAGCGAATGGAACATGTTGAGTAAACGTAGCTAATCTTGTCCTCAAAAGCATGTTTTAGGTCCAGACAGTGAAAATATTCACAGGAAAAGCTCAAGAGAGAGATATTAATAAAATAAAAGTATCGTGCAATGTTTGTTTTATATTCTTTTTCAGAAGTATACATGGGACTAAGGAAAATTGTCCAATCAATTATAATCCTATTGAATGGAGCCAGTTCAATCTTGAATTTTATAGTTTTGCCAATTGAGCTCTAATCCTTTATAAGAAATTCATGTATAATCCCTCTAGCCAATTTCTGCAAAGATTTTGTAGGACAGTTAGTGATGACTATACTGCTGCATCAACGCTTTCTGATGAAAATTAATCAAAAAGATTACATTGACATTTCATGCAAAAATTCAAGACTAATATCGAATAATTTTTTCTATAGGTCTAGCACGTTTTTAAAATTGTGGCTGATTGGGGCTTGTGATTGTTTTTATCAGTTTCAGCATTGATTGATCCTTGCTTTGCCAACGAGTACGAAAAAGTTCATCCTCAAAAAAATTAAAACCGAAAAAAGTTCACTAAAATAGTCACATCCTTTGATTGCTGCGAGTTAGGTGTTCCGTGAATCATTTCTCCTTGATGGCTGCCATCGTTTTCTCTACAGATGTCATTGAATTCATTAGAATATTACTCTAACATGTGATCAGTTCTAAGTCTCTTGATTTCCTCGCCTGTTTGACTTTCTATCAATAGCTTAAACGGTTTAAAACAGACAAAAACCTCGTTTTTGTGCTTTAGAAAGTAAATCCAGACTTTTCGGCCAAAGTCATCGATAAAGGGTGGCATACACCTGACATCTCCAATTTGGTTGCACTTGAAAAGGCACCCACAAATCTAAATGGATGTAATCCACTATGCTTTTTGCTCGTGTGAAGTGTGTCGTAACCTTGTCTGACCTTGACTCTGACGAGGTGGGATCAAACTGTAGGAGTCGAGCCTGATACCTTTAGGTGGGGAGATCGCCAAAGGAAGCCCAAATCCAAGTCTGTCGATATATTCAGTTTACTCCACCTTTATTCAAAAGTTTAAGCCAATGAGTTATGGGTCAA